CAAATTTTGCGGAAACCAGCGTTTCGCTCGAGACATCCTCCACAAACTATGTAAAATAAGCGTTTCGCTCGAGACATCCTGCCAAAGTTCTAAGAAATCCTGACAAAACAAGCGAATTAGTCGAGACATCCTCGAAATTCCTGCGCGCGGGACGCGGCACGCGCGAGACATCCTCGGAATTCCTGCGCGCGGGGCGCTTTTCCGAGTCGCGGTCGGGGCTCCAGACCCCGTTATTTTTCGAGGATTCTGCGAAAAACGCTCCGCACCCTCTTTTTTACGAGGGAAAGCGGGGGTCTGCGGACCCCGTTATTTATCGAGGATCCGAGATGGGGGGCGAACTTTCCTCGAGCGGGCACGCACAAAACGCACTTCTTCTAACATGATGGACCCACGAACCCGGAAAGGGATATAGACATGTGGAGCATGGACACGTTTTCATGATACCCAACTGGGCAACACCTCACGAAACATCCCACGAGACACCTCACGAAACAGCCCACGAGACACCTCACGAAACATTCCACGAGACACCTCACGAAACATTTCACGAGACACCCCGCGAAACATTCCACGAGACACCCCACGAAACATTCCACGACGACAGGCAACCACTCAACCAAGGCGGTGTGGTCGTGCTGGGGAGTGGTCGTGCTGGGGTGTGGTCGTGCTGGGGGGAGGTCGTGCTGGGGTGTGGTCGTGCTGGGGGGGTGGTCGTGCTGGGGGGTGGTTGTGCTGGGGCGTGGTCGTGCTGGGGCGTGGTCGTGCTGGGGCGTGGTCGTGCTGGGGTGTGGTCGTGCTGTGGTGAGGTCGTGCTGGGGTGTGGTCGTGCTGGGGTGTGGTCTTGCTGGGGTGGGGTCGTGCTGGGGTGTGGTCGTGCTGGGGTGTGGTCGTGCTGGGGTGTGGTCGTGCTGTGGTGGGGTCGTGCTGGGGTGGGGTCGTGCTGGGGTGTGGTCGTGCTGGGGTGTGGTCGTGCTGGGGTGTGGTCGTGCTGGGGCGTGGTCGTGCTGGGGTGGGGTCGTGCTGGGGTGGGGTCGTGCTGGGGTGGGTTCGTGCTGGGGTGCTCCGCACCCTGTGATTTATCGATCGGGTCGTGCTGGGGTGTGGTCGTGCTGGGGTGTGGTCGTGCTGGGGTGTGGTCGTGCTGGGGAGTGGTCGTGCTGGGGTGTGGTCGTGCTGGGGGGTGGTCGTGCTGGGGGGTGGTCGTGCTGGGGGGGTGGTCGTGCTGGGGGGTGGTCTTGCTGGGGCGTGGTCGTGCTGGGGCGTGGTCGTGCTGGGGCGTGGTCGTGCTGGGGTGTGGTCGTGCTGTGGTGAGGTCGTGCTGGGGTGTGGTCGTGCTGGGGTGTGGTCTTGCTAAGGTGGGGTCGTGCTGAGGTGGGGTCGTGCTGGGTGGGGTCGTGCTGGGGTGTGGTCGTGCTGGGGGTTGTCGTGCTGGGGTGTGGTCGTGCTGGGGGGTGTCGTGCTGGGGGGGTCGATGTGCTGGGCGTGGGTCGTGCGTGCTTGGTGTTGAGAGTCGGGATTTCAAAAACAAGCGTTTCGCTCGAGACATCTCCCTCAATTTTTAATTCGCCGGCCTCAAAACCACAAGCGTTTCGCTCGAGACACCTCTAATTTTATTCGTCGGGCTCGGTATTATCCAGGGGAAAAAATTCGCCGGCCTCCTCCGACCTCGTTATTTTATCATGGAAAAATTCGCCGGCCTCCTTCGACCTCGTTATTTATCAGGGAAAAAATTCGCCGGCCTCCTTCAAGCAGGCACCGGGGGACTTGTTTACAAACTAAAAGAGAACCCTGGGCTTAAGCCCTTTCCGGGAAAAATCAGCACTTTACCTCGTTATTTATCGCAAATAATTTCGCCGGCGCTTGACCCGTCAGATCCGGGGGTAAACGGCTAAAAGAGAACCCTGGGCCCAAGCCCTTTCCGGGAAAAAGTGGACTTCACCTGTGAAATATCGAGGTTTCCTTAGAGGCAGTAAAATTCCAAGAGCACGATCTGCGTGAGGGGTGGCGAAAAATGGCCTTCGTCCTCACAGTTGAAATCCGCCGGCCCCCTTCGACCTCGTAATTTATCGCACAAGAAATCCGCCGGCCCCCTTCAAGTAAAAACCGAGGGGTAGACCATCTAAAAGAGAACCCTGGGCCTAAGCCCTTTCCGGGAAACACTTTACCTCGCTATTTACGCAGAATAATTTAGCCGGCCTCCTTCAAGTCAAAACCGGGGGTAAACCATCAAAAAGAGAACCCTGGGCTCAAGCCCTTTCCGGGAAACACATGGATCCAGTTCGGGAGAATCATGTTAGATACCCAACTGGGTGGCCATCAAGCCATGAAGCTCTTGCAACATTTTGACACGAATGTGTACGCTGCTAAGGCGAGAGCCACATTTTGAACCTCAACCCGGGAGGCTCTTGCAAATCTTGATAACAAACCTGCGCGGCGCTAAGGCGAGAGCCACATTTTGGAAACTGCCCGCCCTCAAGCTGTGAAGCTGCTGCGAATGTTTAAGCTTCAGGGTCACAACGGTGAGGAAGTGTCAGGCGAAACGCCCGGCCCACCCTTTCGACGGGACTCCGGGTGCGACAGGGAGGAGTTCTTTATCAGGAAAATGAATGATGGAGGAGGAGGAGTAGGAGGAGGAGGAGGAGGAGGAGGAAGAGGAGGAGGAGGAGGAGGAGAGTAGAGGGACAGCAACATGATGAGCAGGGAGCAGGAGGAGAGGAGAGGCAGCATGAGCAGGAGCATAGCAGGAGCAGGAGGCAGGAGGAGGAGGAGAGGAGGAGTGGTGACCAGAGGAGAGGGAGGAGAGGGGAGGAGGAGAGTAAGGAGGAGGAGAGAGGAGTAGGAGGAGGAGGAAGGAGGTGGTGAAAGAGGGTGGTGAAAAGAGGAGGTGGAGGATTATGATGAGGGATAAGATGGAATAAGGAAGAGGAGGAGGAGGAGGAGGAAGAGGAAGGAGGAGCAGGAGGAGGAGGAGAGAGGAGGAGTGGAGGAGTAGGAGCTGTAGGAGCATGAGGAGGAGGAGGAGGAGGAGGAGGAGGAGGAGGAGGAGATGAAAGACGAGGAGGAGGAGGAGGAAGAGGCGGCGGCAGCGGAGAAGTAGGATGGAGGTGAATGGTTCCGAGGAGCGAGCGGATCGACATCTGGGGCTGCGGCCTGTGCGTTTTCGTCATGCTCGCGGGGCGCCTGCCCTTCATCCCCGGGAGCGACGAGTCGCAGCGGCCGCCCTGGGCTGGGCGAGAACGCCCACGGGCAGCCCGCCCTGGGGGCAGACCAGGGCAAGAGGAGGGAGGTGAGAACGGAGGAGGAGGAGGAGGAGGAGGAGGAGGAGGAGAAGGAGGAGGAGGAGGAGGAAGAGGAGGAGCAGGAGGAGGAGGAGGAGGAGGAGGAGGAGGAGGAGGAGGAGTAGGAGGAGGAGGAGGATGGGCTGGAGTTGTGGGGCGAACCTCCCGCTCGCGCCCCTTTCCCTTCCATCCCCTTGCTGCTGCTCTTCATCTGCCCTCCTGTTCTTGCTTCTGCTCCGGCCCCTGCTTCTGCTCCTGCTGCTGGTCTGGTAATCTTCAGCAGAAGGGCTACCTGGAGGAGGATATAGAGATACGATTGAGGAGACGCTCCCCAAACTGCTCTCTCTCTCTCTCTGCCCGTGTCCCCTCCCCTTCTCCTCCTCATCCTCATCCTCCTCCTCCTCCTACCTCCTCTCCTCCTCCTCCCCCTGCTCCTCCTCCTCCTCCCCCTCCTCCTCCTCCTCCTCCTCCGCCTCCTCCTCCTCCCCTCCTCCGCCTCCTCCTCCTCCTCCTCCTCCTCTCCCTCCTCCTCCTCCTCCTCTCCTCTCCTCCTCCTCCTCCCTCCTCCTCCTCCTCCTCCTCCTCCTCCTCCTCCTCCTCCTTCTACCTCCCTCCTCCTCCCTTGGCCTCGTCCTCGTTCCTCCTCCTCCTCCTCCTCCTTCCTCCTCTTCCTCCCCCTCCTCCTTCTACCTCCCTCCTCCTCCCTTAGCCTCGTCATTGTTTCTCCTCCTCCTCCTCCTCCTCCTCCTCCTCCTCCTCCTCCTCCTCCCTCCTCCTCACTCCCTCCTCCTCCCCTCCCTCCTCTCCTACCTCCTCCTCCTCCTCCTCCTCCTCCACCTCCTCCCCTCCTCCTCCTGCTCCTCCTGCTCCTCCTCCTCCCACCTCCTTCCTCCCCCTTGGCCTCGTCTCCCTCATCCTCCGTCCTCCTCCTCGCTCCTCCCTCCTCCTCCTCCTCCTCCTCCTCCTCCTCCTCCTCCCCCTCCCCCTCCTCCTCTTCGGGCGCGCTGGGGGGCCTATTGGGGCCCTCTTGGGCTCTCTTAGGGCCCTCGGGGCCCTCTTGGCCGTATGTATTGAGGCCGTCTGGGGGCCATCTTGGACCTTTGGGCCCCTTTGGGGCGCCTCTGGGGCCGTCTTGGGATGATCTGTGGGGCCTCTTAGGCCGTCTTGGGCCCGTCTGGGGGCCCTCTTGGACCGTTTTGGGCCCGTTTGGGGCACCTTCGGGGCCGTCTTGGGACGACCTTTGGGGCCTCTGGGCCGTCTTGGGCCCGTCCGGGGAAGAAGCGGGCCATGGGAGCCGCCCAGGAGCCGCTTCACTCGAAAAAATACGAGGGAAACGGGCCATTAGACCATTCCGTCTTGGCTACGCACCCCCCCTGGACCCCCCCTAAGAAGGGCTTCACCCCCTACTCAACGTCACTCGCTCGTACCTCGTTCTTTCCGTCACCTGGGCCGGCACGGAAACGGAAAGAGCGCTTCAACAACTTGACCGAAATTACTCACACCACCGTTCGTACTGGGAGCCTTGGCGTTGAGAGCTTGTTACGTCACCCCGCGCTCTTGGGAGCCTTGGTGTTCAGGAACTTGGCCTGAGCCTTGGCTGGGCTTTGGCTGGGCCTTGGTGTCAGGAACTTGTTACGTCATCGCTCCCTGTTGGGAGTCTTGGTCTTATGAGCTTGTTTACGTCACCGTTCGCTCTTGGGAGCCTTGTTGTGAAGAGCATTTTGCGTTACCGATCGCTCTATATTTGGCTTCTCTGAGCCTTCTTGGGAGTCCTATTGCGGCCCTTTTTGAGCCCCTTTGGGGGCCTCTTGGGGGCCTCTTGCGGCGCCAAACCCACTGGCGCTGGCGTGCGCTCACGTGTGCGGCCAGAGTGGGCGAGGAGGGCGTCGTAGGTGATCGGCTCAGGGTCGAACTCTGTCTGGATCCGAGCTGTGAGGCGCGAGCGCGCGGTCCTCCTCCTCCAGCCGTCGCAGCGCCTCGACGGCGGCGAGCCGCGCCTGCTCCACCTCCTCTGGCGACTCGTCCTCTGGGCGGAAGGTGGGCTGCTTCATGGTGCCTTTTTCTGGGCCGTTACGTATCCGGTACCAGACACGCCACGCCTGTCTGTTTTTGTTCCAATGTATGTGCTTGACGCCGCTCTGACGTTCCGCGCTCTGTGGGCCAGCGGAGGGGTTGTCCGAGCTGCTCGGCCCGAGCGTGCCGTCCTGCTCCTGAAGCCGCCGCTGCTCATCGTCCCCGACGACCAGAAACAGCCCGTCGAGGAGCGGCACCTCCCCGCGGCCGCGGCTGGGGCAGGGCCCACCGGAGCCGCTCGGCTCGAAGGCGAGGTCCTCCTCCTCGAGCCGCCGCAGCGCTTCGACGGCGGCGAGCCGCGCCCGCTCCACCTCCTCCGACGACTCGCCCTTCGGGCGGAAGGCGGGCTGCTTCCATGTGCCTCTGGCTTGGCCGTTCTCCATCTTATACTGAATGCGCCACACCGCGCTGTGCTTGTCCCAGTTGATGTGCTTGACGCCGCTCTGGCGCTCCGCTTGCCGGCCCGAGCTGATCGGCCCGAGCGCGCGGTCTTCCTCCTGCAGCCCCCGCAGCGCCTCGACGGCGGCGAGCCGCGCCCGCTCCACCTCGTCCGGCGACTCGTCCTTCGGGCGGAAGGTGGGCTGCTTCCAGGTGCCTTTGGCTGGGCCGTTCCGCATCCGGTACTTCACACGCCACACTTGTTTTGATCCATACCAGTGTATGTGCTTGACGCCGCTATTAGGGGGCCGCATGCGAACCCTACCCTTACCCCCCACGACTTCCGAGGGGGAAGGTGGGGTTCACTTCGCTCGGGAGCTTCCGAATGAAGTGAACCCCACCCTCTCCCTAAGAAATCGTGGGGGGTAGGGCTAGGGTTCGCGTGTGGCCCCCGAGCTATGGCGCTCCGCGCGGTTCCGGCCCGAGCTGATCGGGGCGAGCGCGCGGTCCTCCTCCTGCAGACGCCACAGCGCCTCGGCGGAGGCGGGCCGCGCCCGCGCCACCTCCTCCCGCGGCCCGTCCTGCGGGCGGAGGGTGCGCTGCTTCGTGGTGCCTTCGTCGGGGCCGTCCTTTGGGGGGCCACGTGCGAACCCTACCCCTACCCCCCGCGATTTCTGAGGGGGAGGGTGGGGTTCACTTCGCTCGGAAGCTCCCGCACAAAGTGAACCCCACCCTCCCTCTCAGGAATCGTTGGGGGTAGGGGTAGGGTTCGCACGTGGCCCCCTATCCTTCATCACGTACCTCGCGTGCCGGACGCCGCTCTGGCGTTCCGCGCTCGGTCGGCCCGAGGTGCTCGGCCCCAGCGCGCGGTCCTCCTCCTGGAGCCCCCGCAGCGCCTCGATGGCGGCGAGCCGCGCCTGTTCCACCTCCTCCGGCGAATCGTTCTTCGGGCAGAAGGTGCGCTGCTTCCTGGTGCCATTGTCTGGGCCGTTCTTCATCACGTAATTCACGAGCCACGCCTGCTTCTTGCTGACCCAGTGAAGGTACTCGACGCCGCTCTGGCGTTCCATGCTCTGGGGGTCAGCGGAGGGATCGCCCGGGCTGCTCGGCCCGAGCGTGCCGTCCTGCTCCTGAAGCCGCCGCAGCGCCTCGACGGCGGCGAGCCGCGCCCGCTCCACCTCCTCCGACGACTCGTCCTTCGGGCGGAAGGTGGGCTGCTCGGTGCCTTTGTCTGCGCCGTTCCGTAGCTGAAACTGAACACGCCACGCCTGTCTTGTTCTATCCCAATCAATGTGCTGGACGCCGCTCTGGCGCTCCGCACTGTACTGGCCCGAGCTGATCGGCCCGAGAGCGCGGTCCTCCTCCTGGAGCCCCCGCAGCGCCTCGACGGCGGCAAGCCGCGCCCGCTCCACCTCCTCCGGCGACCCGTCCTTCGGGCAGAAGGTGCGCTCCTTCGCGGTGCCTTCGTCTGGGCCGGTCTTCATCACGTATCTCACACGCCAGGTCTGTCTCTTGCTGACCGAGTGAACGTACTTGACGCCGCTCTGGCGTTCCGCGCTCTGGCGCTCAGCAGGGTCGTACCTGCCAGCGCGGGCCTGCCCGAGCAGGTCCTCCTCCTCGAGCCGCCGCAGCGCCTCGACGGCGGCGAGCCGCGCCCGCTCCACCTCGTCCGGCGACTCGTCCTTCGGGCGGAAGGTGGGCTGCTTGATGCGACCTTGATCCGGGCCGTTCCGTATCCGGTACTTAACACGCCACGCCTGTCTTGTTCTAGCCCAGTGTATGTGTCCAGCCGCAGGAGCCGCCGCGTCGCGGCCGGGGCTGGCGGCCGCAGCCCGCAGCGGCGCCCCGCGCACCCGGGCGGGCGCCGCGGCCGGCCCAGCGCAGGCCGCTGGGGCCAGGTGCCCGCGCCACGCAGCCGCCAGGGCTGCGCCCACCGCTGCCGCGGCCGCGGCGCGTCGGTCGCGGCGGCGGCAGGTCATGCGGGCCTCTCGGAGCGCAGCGGCTGACCTGGCATGCGAGCGGCGGCGCGGGCCGGCTGCCCGACCCAGGCCACAGGAAACGCTCGAGCCTCTGGAGCCAAACTGGCTACGGAAACTGGGTAAGCTGCGAACGCTTGGTTTCTGTCGCGACATCCGTTGACTCGCCCTCCTCCCGCGCATCCCCCCCCCCCAGCGATCTGAGCATGAGTATGAGTGTGTATGAGCATGAGTCTGAGTATGAGTACGAGTGAGTCTGAGCATGAGTGCGTCTGAGCCGAGTGAGTCTGAGCGTGCGTGAGTCTGAGCGCGAATGAGCCTGGGCGACGATGAGGGGGAGGAGGAGGAAGAGGAGGAGGAGGAGAGGAGGAGGAGGAGGAGGAGGAGGAAGAGGAGAGAGGAGGAGAGGAGAAGGAGGGAGGAAGGAGGAGGAGGGGGGAGGAGGGAGGAAGAAGGAGGAGGAGAGGAGAAGGAGGAAGGGAAGGAGGAGGAGGATGAGAATGAGGAGCAGAAAGGAAGGAGGCGGAGGAGGAGGAAGAGGAAGAGGAGGAGGAGGTGGGGGATGGGTGGAAGAGGTAGGAGGAGGAAGAGGAGGAGAAGGGAGGAGGAGGAGGAGGAAGGAGGGAGGAGGAGGAGGAGGAGGAGGAGGAGGAGGAGGAAGGAGGAGGAGGATGATGCGGGAAGGAGGGTGTGATGGATGATGAAGAGGGAGGGAGGGAAGGGAGGGGGGGTAGGAGGGGAGGGCAGGGAGGAAGAGCGAGGAGAGGAGAGATTGAGGAGGGGAGGAGGGAGGAACGAGGAGGAGGAGGAGGAGGCGGCGGCGGAGGTGGAGGAGGAGGAGGAAGAGGAGGAGGGAGGAGGAGGGGAGGGAGGAGGAAGAGGGAGAGGCGGAGGAGGAGGAGGAGGAGGAGGAGGAGGGGGAGGAGGGGGAGGAAGAGGAGGAGGAGGTGGAGGTGGAGAAGGAGTGGGTTAGCTGCAACCGCCTGTCAGTTCGGCACCCCCCCAGGCCATAAGATACCATGAGACCCTTCAGAGGCCCTAGCGCCCCAAGAAGCCTAAGGCCGTCGCCCGAGTGCCATAGTATGCCCTAACATGATGGACCCACGAACCCGGAAAGGGATATAGACATGTGCAGCATGGTCACGTTTTCACGATACCCAACTGGGCGACATCTCACGAAACATCCCACGAGACACCCCGCGAAACATCCCACGAGACACCTCACGAAACATTCCACGAGACACCTCACGAAACATTCCACGAGACACCCTTTGAAACTTTCCACGAGACACCCCACGAACAGGCAACCACTCAACCAGACACGCCACGAAACATTCCACGGGGGTGCGACTGGGTGTGGTCGTGCTGGGGTGTGGTCGTGCTGGGGTGTGGTCGTGCTGGGGTGTGGTCGTGCTGGGGTGTGGTCGTGCTGGGGTGTGGTTGTGCTGGGGTGCGGTCGTGCTGGGGTGTGGTCGTGCTGGGGGTTGTGGTAGTGGTAGTGCTGGGGGGGTGGTAGTGATGGGGCATGTGGTCGTGCACCCCGCGAAAAAACATCCCACGAGAACCTCACGAAACATTCCACGAGATACCTCACGAAAACATTCCACGAGACACCCTTTGAAACATTTTACTCGAGACACCCCAAGAACAGGCAAACACTCAAACCTGACACGCCCACGAAACATTCCACGGGGGTGCGATGGGTTTGGTGCTGCTGGGGTTTGTTGGTCGTGCTGGGGTGTGGTCGTGGCTGGGGAGTGGTGTGCTGGGGTGTGGTTCGTGATGGGGCGTGGTCGTGCTGGGGGTTGTGGTCGTGCTGGGGTGTGGTCGTGCTGGGGGGGTGGTCGTGCTGGGGGGTGGTTGTGCTGGGGCGTGGTCGTGCTGGGGCGTGGTAGTGCTGGGGCGTGGTCGTGCTGGGGTGTGGTCGTGCTGTGGTGAGGTCGTGCTGGGGTGTGGTCGTGCTGGGGTGTGGTCTTGCTGGGGTAGGGTCGTGCTGGGGTCGGGTCGTGCTGGGGTGTGGTCGTGCTGGGGTATGGTCGTGCTGGGGTGGGGTCGTGCTGGGGTGGGGTCGTGATGGGGTCTGGTCGTGCTGGGGTGTGGTCGTGCTGGGGTATGGTCGTGCTAGGGTGGGGTCGTGCATTTCGCTCGAGACATCCTGCCAAAATTCCAGGAAATCGTACAAAAACAAACAAATTAGTCGAAACATCATCGATATTCCTTCGCGCGGGGCGCTTTTCCGCGTCGCGGTCGGCTCTGCAAAACAAGCGTTTCGCTCGAGACATCCTCGGCAAACTCTGCGGAGCAAGCGTTTCGCTCGAGACATCCTCAACACGCGAAAAAGTGGCCCGCACCCTGTGATTTATCGATCGGGATTTCAAAAACAAGCGTTTCGCTCGAGACATCCTCAAATTTTAATTCGCCGGCCTCCTTCGACCTCGTTATTTTTCAGGGAAAAAATTCGCCGGCCTCCCTCAAGTTGGCACCGGGGGACAGGTTTACCTACTAAAAGAGAACCCTGGGCCCGCGCCCTTTCCGGGAACATGATGGACCCACGAACCCGGAAAGGGATATAGACATGTGGAGCATGGGCACGTTTTCACGATACCCAACGGGGCAACACCTCTCGAAACATCCCACGAGACACCTCACGAAACATCCCACGAGACACCTCACGAAACATTCCGCGAGACACCTCACGAAACATTCCAGGAGACACCCCGCGAAACATTCCACGAGACACCCCACGAAACATTCCACGACGACAGGCTACCACTCAACCAAGGCGGTGTGGTCGTGCTGGGGAGTGGTCGTGCTGGGGTGTGGTCGTGCTGGGGGGTGGTCGTGCTGGGGTGTGGTCGTGCTGGGGGGGTGGTCGTGCTGGGGGGTGGTTGTGCTGGGGCGTGGTCGTGCTGGGGCGTGGTCGTGCTGGAACGTGGTCGTGCTGGGGTGTGGTCGTGCTGTGGTGAGGTCGTGCTGGGGTGTGGTCGTGCTGGGGTTGTGGTCTTCGCTAGGGTTGTGTCGTGCTGGGGTGTCTGTCGTGGCTGGGTGTGGTGCGTGCTGGGTGTGGGGGGTGTGGTCTGTGCTGGGGGGGGTGTCGTGCTGGGGCGTGGTCGTGCTGGGGCGTGGTCGTGCTGGGGTGTGGTCGTGCTGTGGTGAGGTCGTGCTGGGGTGTGGTCGTGCTGGGTGTGTGGTCTTGCTGGGGTAGGGTTCGTTGCTGGGGCGTGGTCGTGCTGAGGGTGGTCGGGTGTGGGCCCTGGTTGTGGGGTGTGTCGTGCTGTGGTGAGGTCGTGGTGGGGTGTGGTCGTGCTGGGGTGTTGGGGGAGGTCGGGATTTCAAAAACAATCGTTTCGCTCGAGACATCCTCAAATTTTAATTCGCCGGCCTCAAAAACAAGCGTTTCGCTCGAGACATCCTCAAATTTTAATTCGCCGGCGCTCAAAAACAAGCGTTTCGCTCGAGACATCCTCAAATTTTAATTCGCCGGCTCGTTATTTATCATGGAAAAAATTCGCCGGCAATTCGCCGGCTCGTTATTTATCAGGGAAAAAATTCGCCGGCAATTCGCCGGCTCGTTATTTATCAGGGAAAAAATTCGCCGGCCTCCTTCAAGCAGGCACCGGGGAACAGGTTTACCTACTAAAAGAGAACCCTGGGCCTACGCCCTTTCCGGGAACAAGCGTTTCGCTCGAGACATCCTCAAATTTTAATTCGCGGGCGCTCAAAAACAAGCGTTTCGCTCGAGACATCCTCAAATTTTAATTCGCGGGCTCGTTATTTATCAGGGAAAAATTCGCCGGCCTCCTTCGACCTCGTTATTTATCAGGGAAAAAATTCGCCGGCCTCCTTCAAGCAGGCACCGGGGGACAGGTTTACCTACTAAAAGAGAACCCTGGGCTTAAGCCCTTTCCGGGAAAAACTAGCAGGCGAGGACCAGAAGGGCGGGGCTCCCTCGTCGCGCGAGCCCCAGACCAGAGCCCCATGCTCACGAATTGCTTCATTCAGCAGCTGAAGCAGAGAGGGCCACGCTTGAATAGAGACTCTAGAAATGAGGGCCGCGCGCATCAGCGCGGCCGTGCAAGCCGCCCAACTCGATGGAAATTCCGGATCCGCCACCCTACCCACCGACACCCGCCGGTCCCGCGTCAGAACCGAGCTGGCCGCCCACCAGGTTGAGGCGAACCAATGCCGCTCGTCGATGGCCAACTCTCGGGGCATCGGGAAAAGCCGGGCCCTGCAGCTCAGCGCAGGCAGCGCCCTGGCCCTATCATAGAGCAAGGTTGGTCGAGAGGTCGGCCGACGGATCGCTCG